GTGTTTTTAGTAGAGACAGGGTTTCTCCATGTTGGTCAGGCTGATCTTGAACTCCCAACCTCAGGCAATCCACCTGCTCAGCCTCCTAAAGTGCTGGGATTACAGGTGTGAGCCACCATGCCCCGCTATGATGACATCTAGTTGGTTTGTTTTTTAGCAGAAGAGAATGTGACAGTACTGTAAGTACAATGAGTACTAATTACAGTTTTGTGCCACTGCCTTGATTTGTGCTAAGGCATCCACAGTTTTATATACCAGCTCTTTGGCAGTATCAGCACAAACATCAACAGAAGGAAAATTCAAATAACATCTTAGTATTACTGTGAAAATAGTTTTAACCTTGGAGATCTCCTGAAAGATTTTTCAGGTATTCTGAAACCGTAATTTGGGAACCTCTACTTTAGTAAAACACAGAAGTATTCATACATGAAATGATGTGATACCTTGCATTTGTTTTAAAATAATTCAGAAGTTGGGGGAAGGAAGAGAGTTAATAATACTGGCCCACCATGGTTAACTGTTGGTATTGGGAATTCTTCTTACCATTTTATTTTTGTGATTGAAATTCTGCATAATAATAAAATATTGTTTAACACATTCCATTTAAAATACAATTTCTCAACCTTGGCACAACTAACACTTGGGGCTGGATAAATCCTTTGCTGCAGTAGCTGTCCTATGATTGCAGGATGTTTAGCAACACTCTGGCCTCTTTCTGTTATAGGCCAGTAGTAACACTTCTGCTTCCCAACTATGACAACCAAAAAGTCTCAAGACATTGTCAAATGTCCCCTGAGGAGCAAACTGCCCCCACTTAAGAACCACTGTTTTAAACCAAGGTTGCTTATTATTATTAGAAGTACTTGCCTAGGCAAAACCACAAAACATTAGGAAGTCTGCAGGATATAGATATACAAAAGTCATTTACATTTGTATACACCAACAGTTAAATGGAACTTTTTTTTTTTTTGAGATGGAGTCTTGCTCTGTCACCTAGGCTGGAGTGCAATGGCTCTATCTCGGCTGACTGCAACCTCCACCTCCTGGGTTGAAGCAATTCTCCTACCTCAGCCTCCCAAGTAGCTGGAATAATAGGCGTGTGCCACCATACCCGGCTAATTTTTTTCGTATTTTTAGTAGAGAGGAGGTTTCACTATGCTAGCCAGGATGGTCTTGATCTTCTGACCTCATGATCCACCCACCTCGGCCTCCAAAAGTGCTGGGATTACAGAGGTGAGCCACTGTGTCTGGCCCAGAACATTTAAACACAATACATGGCCAGGTGTGATGGCTCAAGCCTGTAATCCCAGCAATTTGGGAGACTGAGGCAGGCCAATAACCTGAGGTCGGGAGTTCAAGACCAGCCTGACCAAGATGGAAAACCCCGTCTCTACTAAAAAATACATAATTAGCCAGGCATTATTGTGCGTGCCTGTAATTTCAGATACTCAGGAGACTGAGGCAGGAGAATCGCTTGAACCTGGGAGGTGGAGGTTGCGGTCAGCCAAGAGCGCCATTGCACTCCAGCCTGGGCAACAAGAGCAAAACTCTGTCTCAAAAATAAAAAATGAAAACCAAGACATTCCTAGAGAAGAAGTAAGCTGGGAGTTTACACTATTAGATTCTATGACATTTTCTTTACTTCTTTTTCTTTTTGAAGGAGTCTCACTCTGTCACCCAGGCTGGAGTGCAGTGATGGAATCTCTGCTCACTGCAACTTTGCCTCCATTCCCTAGGACTACAAGTGTCTGCCACCACAAGCGGCTAACATTTGTACTTTTTGGTAAAGATGGGGTTTTACCATGTAAGCCAGGCTGGAGTCTAACCCCTGACCTCCAGTGATCCACCCACCTCAGCCTCCCAAAGTGCTGGGATTACAGGCATGAGCTACCACATCTGACCGATTCTATAAGACATTTTCTAAAACCGTAGTAATTAGAGTGGTATATGGCATGAGGATAGACTAACTAAAGAGAGAGAGCGATCTTGCCTGGGCACGGTGGCTCACACCTGTAATCCCAGCACTTTGGGAAGCCAAGTGGGTGGATCACAAGGTCAGGAGATTGAAACCAACCTGGCCAACATGGTGAAACCCCATCTCTCATGTAAAATGCCTACTTTAAATCATCTCTAAATTACTTATAATATCTAATACAATGCCCACACATCACGTCATTTACGTACAGTCAATGTAGTATTCAGCATACAGCAAGTTCAAGTTGTGGTTTTGGGAATTTTATGGAATATTTTACCCCTTGAATGTTTTTGATCTGAGGTTAGTTGAATCTTTGGATGTGGAACCCGTAATACAAAGTGCTGACTGTATTTTCATTAGATGGCTCTGAGAAACTGGTCTTTATAGAAAAAAATGTGAAAATGAATCTGCACCTCACACAAAAAATAAATTCCATATTAATAATTCCAGATTAACATGAATAGAAATTTGTTTTAAAGTTTAGGAAAAAACATGGTAAACTATTTTTATGACCTTAAGGAAGAATTTCTTTACTAAAAACTCTAAAGAAAAAGACTGATAAAAACTTACGTTCAGCTGGGCGCGGTGGCTCATGCTTGTAATCCGAGCACTTTGGGAGGCCGAGGCGGGTGGATCACGAGGTCAAGAGATCGAGACCATCCTGGTCAACATGGTGAAACCCCGTCTCTACTAAAAATACAGAAAATTATTTTTATATACAGGTGGCGCATGCCTGTAATCCCAGCTACTCAGGAGGCTGAGGCAGGAGAATTGCCTGAACCCGGGAGGTGGAGGTTGCGGTGAGCCGAGATCACGCCATTGCACTCCAGCCTGGATAACAAGAGCGAAACTCCATCTCCAAAAAAAAAAAAAAAAAAAAAGCTTATATTCATCAAAAGATTTTTCTTAATTCTGTTAAAGTGATGGCATTGACAAAAAGGTATTAAAAAGGAAATTAAAAGGTAAGTTATTGAGAGAAGCAATTTGCAACATATATATCAAACACTAAAAAAATGAAAAACCACCATTAAAAAAATGAGTAAAGCTCATAAACAGGCATTACACAGAAGAGAGACACAAATGGCCAATGAAAATATAAGATACCCAAACTCATTAGAGAAGTACAAATTAAATCATAATGAGGTGCTGTTTTGTTGTTACTCAACTGGAAAAATAAAAATTAAAAAAAAGCCAGGCTTGTGAGGTTACGGATCATTTGGAATTTTTTTTTTCTTTTTGAGACAGAGTCTTGCTCTGTCAGCCAGCCTGGAGTGCAGTGGTGCGATCTCGGCTCACTGTAACCTTCATCTCCCAGGTTCATGCAGTTTTCCTGCCTCACCCTCCGAGTAGCTGGGATTACACCACACTTGGCTAATTTTCATACTTTTAGTAGAGAAAGGGTTTTGCCATGTTGGCCAGACTGGTCTCAAACTTCTGACCTCAGGAAATCTGCCCACTTTGGCTTCTCAAACTGCTGAGATTACAGGCATAAGCCACCTCACCTGGCCTGAGAATTTTTATATTCTGATGGTGGAAGTCTAAACTAGTACAAACTCTCTAGGAGTTAATTTGGCATTACCTAAAGAAGTGGAATATGCACACTGCTCATAATCCAGCTATTCTAATCATAATGTATAAGAGAAACTCTTGAAGGAAACACCTTCAAAAATGTGCGTAGCTCCAAGCTAAAAACAATCCAAATGTTCATCAATAGTAAAAATGTGTAATCTATTATACTAGAGAACAGTATTTTGGCATGAAAACTGATAATCTAGCTATATACCACAACACAGGTAAATCTCAAAAGAAGTATTTAGGCCAAAAACAAAAAAACCTGACAGAAGAAAACACAGACCATGATCCCATTTATATAACGTTTACCAACAGGCAAACTAAACAAAGAAACAAAGGAAAAAGGGGAAACATGATAATGGAATATCAAAGGTCACCTCCAAGTAGTTTCAAATATTACTGTTACTGTAATGCCAAAACTCCAAACCTGCCATGTCAGTTTCTTACTAGAGCTATTCAAATTGGGTGCCCACTTTGCTTCATTGAGACAAACATTTCATGACTTTAAGAATAGCTTTATCCTAAACAAGCTTACAGGATCACATGTAAGAACATTAACAAAAGCCTATGGTGTACCTGCTACTGTCCTAGGTGTTTCACACTCTATTTTGGGGTGGGTAGAGGGAAAGTAATGGGGCATAAGCATTTAACAATAAAAATAATATCATACTAATAAGTACCATTTTGAGCACTTATGTGCCAGGTGCCGTTCTAAAGGCTTTATAGTAATTCTCACAACTCTGAAATATTACTGTCATTATCATTATATTAATAATAAATACAATAGGTAATATTTTCAGACCCTATATACCAGGCCTTTGGCTAAGGGCTTTATGTCATTCTAACTTAATCCTCACAACAAACCTACGGATAGGTATCATCATCCTTAATGGATACTATTTCAGTAATCCGTTATCCACAGTTTTGGTTAGTTCTCTGCAGTCAACTGCGGTCTGAAAACATTACATGGAAAACTCCAGAAATACACAACGGACAAATTTTAAATTGCATGTCATTCTCAGTAGCATGATGAAATCTAACATTGTCTCATTCTATCTAGACTGGGATGTACATCATCCCTTTGTCCAGCATGTTCATGCAGTGTACACTCACTACCCACCATTAGTCACTTGGTAGCCCCCTCAGTTATTGAATGGCCTGTAGCATTATTGCAGTCCTTACATTCAATTAACTTTTGTTTAACTTAACCATGGCCATAAAGCTCAAAAGTAGTGATGCTGGCATACTGTTATAACTGTTCTACTTTATAATTAGTTTTTGCTGTTAATCTTAGTGTGCTTAATTTATAAATTAATCACAGGTATGTATACCCAAGAAAAAATATATATAAGGCTCAGTACCTTCCATGGGGTTTCAGACACACACTGGTGTCTTGGAACATATTCACAAATAGGAGGGAACTAATGTATATTTCCCATATTCTCATTTCCAGGATAAGAAAACTAAAGGAAAGATGAGATACCAAGACTAGGCAAAACCACGTAACTCAAAGTCATACAATCAATAAAGGACAGAGCTAGGATTTGAACCTGTGTCCAACTGACTCTAAAGCCTATGCTTAGCCACTGTTACACTGTTTTAGTTTGTCTTCATAAACACTGTTAAGTATATACAACAAGAACTAAGAGTATGGATGAAGACAGAACGACCTGGGTCCATATCCTGGCTCTACCATGTTCCGGCTGTGGGATGGAAGACAAAGCTCCTCAACCTCTGGGAGCCTCAAGTCCTTCACCTACAAAATTGAGGTGCATAAGGTACCCATGGGTAAGCGTGAAAGGGTAAATATAAAAACTAAATGAGATAAGGCATGCAGAGGGCTCAGCATAGAGCCTGGCACATAACAAATGTTCAGCAGATGTTGGATGGTATCACTACCATCATCAGCATCTTCCCTGTTTTATAGATAAGAAAATGGAGATACAGAGAGAGGTTGTATTTGATGCAACATTGCAAAACTAGTTAGTGTCAGTGAAAGACTTTTAAACACAAGTCTAGCCAGCTTCAAAGTATCAAAACTTTTCCATTTGCCGGGTGTCCCCTGAAAGCATAAAAAGTACATCGCAGGGGCCAGGCGTGGTGGCTCACGCCTGTAATCCAAGCACTTTGGAAATGAAGGCAGGCGGATCACCTGAAGTCAGGAGTTCAAGACCAGCCTGACCAACATGGTGAAACCCTGTCTTTTTAAAAAAATTAAAAAAAAAATAAGTACATACCAGACAGAAGGAGGCCTTGGGGAGATCTTCCTTAGGGAAAGAAAACCTGAACTAAATCTTCAAATACAACCATGAGTTGGTCAGATGAAGAAATGAAGTGAGAGAAATGAGTATTGCAGGCAGAGGAAACAATACATCCAAAGGAACTGATTAAACGGTGTGGCAATAATTGTAGCTACAATTATTTCAGTGTGGCTGGAGCCCAGGCTGTAGGGGCAAGTCAGTCTGGGTCCACAAATGAAGCAAACAAAACATAGCATGATTTTAAGCAGTGGTTCTCAAAGTGAAATCAGGCCAGGAACATTGGCATCACCTGGAAACCTATTGTAAGTGCAAATTCTTGGGCCTATCCCTGACCTCCTGAATGAGAAACTTTAAGTCTTTTAAAGGTTCTCCATGTGATTATGATGAATGGTTCATATTTTAAAAACATGAATTTAAGCAATGATGAAATGTAACTACGTTTTCAAAAAACAACGAAATAATTCTTCATTACGTAATTCAGAAGAAGACCAAGGAGAAACCATGAATTCCTGTATAATATCTGAATGGGCATCAACTATAATTCCCTTCATGTGCCTAGGTTTGCTTTGACAGCAGTTAACCAATTTAATAGGTTACTCTACCTACAGATCCAATTTGCCCTACACTTCGTCTTGGCAAAATACTCTGAACTAGGCTTACACTGTAAACCTTCAAAAGAAAAAAAAAAAACAACTAGGCCTGGCAAGGTGGCTCACACCTGTAATCCCAGCACTTTGGGAGGCCGGAGTGGGTGGATCACCTAAGATCAGAAATTTGAGACCAGCCTGACCAACACTGTGAAACCCCATCTCTACTCAAAATGCAAAAATTAACTGGGCATCATGATGCACATCTGTAATCCCAAATACTTGGGAGGCTGAGGCAGGAGAATCACCTGAACCCGGGAGGCAGAGGTTGCAGTGAGTCAAGATCATGCCACTACACTCCAGTCTGGGCAAGAGAGAGAGAAAACACACACACACACACACACACACACACACACTTATATATATATACACACACACACATATATATATGTGTATGTATATATATGTGTATATATATATGTGTATGTGTATATATATGTGTGTATATATATATGTGTGTGTGTGTATATATATATATATGTATGGAAATAGCGGCCCATGGAAATAAACACTGGTCTTGAACTCCTGACCTCAGGTGATCTGCTCACGTTAGCCTCCCAAAATGCTGGGGTTACAGGTGTGAGCCACTGTGCCCAGCCTTTTTTTTTTTAATTCACCAATGAAGCAGTACTGACTATAGTTGTTAACCCTGCATTGTATATGAATTTGTCTTCTAGTAGATCATATGTTCCTCTCCAGAAGCTGATACAGTGCCTTGCACATAGTAGGTGCTCAGTAACACTGCAGAGACTAGAGTCTGCCTATCCCAATATTCAATCATTTTTTCTTAGTAAAAGAAACCCCAGTTATGACCCGTGAAAAACAAGAAGTACTACCTGGAAGCTTCTAAGAAATATCCTCAAAAAATACTAAATGACACTTGTTTAACACACATTCCATCCCTGCTGTGTGGCTTAGAATGCAGACGAAATGATCGGTGCTCTAACTTGGATCCTAGGGATGATGGAGACAAAAGCTGGAAGCAGCCTTAGATGCCAGATGACTGCAGAGCTGACAAAACAGTCTGGATCTTCCTTCTACATAACAACCATTATTTAGAAATCTTTGTTATTTTGGATCTCTATTAATTTGTAGAGAAACCTAATCCAAACTAGTAAATAATCTTATATCCAACTTCTAATTTTTGCCACCAATTGCACTTAATCCAAACTAATAAATGATCTGATATCCAACATCTAATTTTTGCTACCAATTGCTATATTTTCCAAGAAAAGTATGAATATTGCCTTATTAATTCATGCTCTATTTCAGCTTCTCAGTTTTTCACTGACACACTTTGAAATGCAATGTTTCCCCAGCTCTGATTTCCTTTCACAGCCCATTTTTGCTCTGTCACTTGTATCCCTTATTTAATTCCTCTTCTCCAGCTAAAGTGTCTCAGTCACTTCTCTCTTCTATATGATATGAGCGTGGGAGCTCACAGCGGTAATCCCAGCACTTTGAGAGGCCAAGCAGGAAGACTGCTTGGGGCCAGGAGTTTGAGACTAGCCTGGGTAACACAGTGAGACTCTAGTCTTTACAAAAAAATAAATAAAAATTACCCAGGCATGGTAGTATGTACCTGATAGTAGTCTCAGCTACTATCAGGAAGCTAAGATGGAAAGATCGCTTGAACCCAGGATTTCAAGGCTGTAGTGAGCCATAATCTCACCAGTGCACTCCAGCCTGGGTGACAGAGCAAGACCCTGTCTCAAAAAAAAAAAAAAAAAACCCACACACACAGAAAAACAAAACAAAACCCAATACCACTCTTAGAAAGTATCTTCACAAAGGAAAAGTTTTCACAAACAGACTTGTTCTCTGATAATTCATGGAAAAAAAATACACATAATATTTATATAATTCTGGGTTACTTCAGACTGAGCTAATAGAGCTCAGGTAACCCTAATTTGCCTGCTATTAATTTTTCATGCTATTAAAATGCTTACAACTTTTGTGAATATAGTGTGTGAATACAGTGTGTCATTCTCTTCACATGCTCAAAATATTCTTGTTATTCTTAAATTTCAAAAGAATTTGAAGTGATCATTTAGTTATCTTTCTGTTAATCTTGTAAGATATAAGAATTTTAAGTTTCCAAACTGACAAAGATTCCTTGTGTGACCAAACTTCAGCCTCCTGGACCTTCTCCTAAGATTATCTGTGTGCTTCTTTATAAAACCCAGTTTTGGCAACGAACCCTGCTAAGGTAGTTTAGCAAGAACCTCTCATCCTTCATATCTAATCACTCTCAGTGACTGATCAGGTTTCTCGTCCTCCACCCCCTTAGTAATTTTCCATTCACTGACCCTTACCTTGCTCCCTGGTTATAAATTTCCACTTGTCCATGCTGTATTCAGAATTAACTCCAATCTCTATACCCCACTGCAAACCCTGATTGCAGTGGTCCCTGTATCTCCTGCAATCGTGATAAATAAGCTGCCTCATGCCGTAACAGGTATCACTGAATAATTTTTTCTTTAAGAAAACTAAATTTCGATCCCAAGATGGCCGAATAAGAGGCAGCTCCAGAAAGCAGCTCCCAGCGAGAGAGACACAGAAACTGAGTGGTCTCCACAATTCCAAATGAGGTACCAGGTTCATTTTGTGGGTCTGGTTGGACAGTGGGCATAAACCAAATAGGGCAAGTTGAGAGGCAAGGCAGAGTACTGCCCCAACCCAGGACATGCATGCAACCGACCAGAGGACTGGGGGATCTCCCCATCTAGGTCATTGGTCAGATACAGCGCTCCACCCAAGCCCTCTACAACCCACAGAACGGGAGATCTTCATGGGTCTGAAAAGCCTCAGTGAGCTGCCTGAACAGGGCAGAACAGCAGGTTTGACCAGCACTGGAGCTGTCAGTAAAGATCTAGGTGGGCCGGGCGCGGTGGCTCACGCCTGTAATCCCAGCACTTTGGGAGGCCCAGGCGGGTGGATCACGAGGTCAAGAGATCGAGACCGTCCTGGTCAAAATGGTGAAACCCCGTCTCTACTAAAAATACAAAAAATTAGCTGGGCATGGTGGCGCATGCCTGTAATCCCAGCTACTCAGGAGGCTGAGGCAGGAGAATTGCCTGAACCCAGGAGGCGGAGGTTGCGGTGAGCCGAGATTGCGCCATTGCACTCCAGCCTGGGCAACAAGAGTGAAACTCCGACTCAAAAAAAAAAAAAAAAAATCTAGGTGGAAGCACTGGCTGAGGCAAAAGCCAGAAAGCTGACTGGATGGATCTACCCACCCCCCAGAGTAAAAGGGGAACTTAAAACAGGGAAACAGCCCATACGGCAGGACAGGTCCCGTCTCCCCCTCCCCCGGCCCCGACAAACTCTCATGCCAGAGTTTCACACCTAGAGAATGAACAGGAATGATCCAGCTCAGCTGGGGTGGGGGGGGTTGACAGCTGCCATTGCAGAAACCACATAACTTTCCTGAATAAATAAAAGATACAGCAGCTCCACTGAATCTCTAGCAGCCCAGCAGTGCCTCTGCAGGCAGGCAAAGGAAAGGCCACCTCCCCAAGTAGCTACCTAAGACCAAAACTACAGGTATTGATCGACTTACGACCTATGCAACTTAACGACCATTCGACTTTACGACCACAATCGCTAGCCATGACTGCTCCGCGTCTGGCAGTGCAAACGTTGCCCAGCTGGGCGTACGACAGTGCAGACCAGCTTTCAGCAGCACTACCATCTCCACGTGCATATAGCCTACTCAACTTACGACCAAATCGTGTTACGACTGGTCTGTCGGAACCAATCGTGGTCGTAAGTCGAGCACTAGCTGTATATAAATCCAATGAGATGGGGAAAAAAAAGTGCAGGAATAATGAAACCATCAAAAACAAGAACAATTCCCCCCACCATGAGATCACAACTCCTAACCAGCAAGGGAACAAAGCTGGACAGAGAATGAATTTGACGAATTGACAGAAGCAGGCTTCAGAAGGTAGATAATAACAAACTTCTGAGTTAAAGCAACATGTTCTAACCCAATGTAAAGAAACTAAAAACCTTGAAAAAAGGTTAGACAAAATGCTAACTAGAATAACAAGCTTAGAGAAAAACATAAATGACTTCATGGAGCTGAAAGACACAGCACAAGAACTTCATGAAGCATACACAAGTTTCAATAGCCGAACAGATCAAGCAGAAGAACTTCTATCAGAGATTGAAGATCAACTCAATGAAACAAATGAGAAGGCAAGAAAAGAGAACAGTGAAAAGAAATGAACAAAGCCTTCAAGAAATATGGGATTATGTGAAAAGACCTAATTTATGCTTGATTGGTGTACAGGAAGAAGATGGGAGAATGAATGCAAGCTGGAAAACACTCTTCAGGATATTATCCAGGAGAACTTCCCCAACCTTGAGAGGCAGGGCAACATTCAAATACAGGAAATACAGAGAACACCAAAATGATACTCCTCTAGAAGAGCAACCCCAAGGCACATAATTGTCAGATTCACCAGAGTTGAAACAACGGAAAAAATACTAAGGGCAGCCAGAGAGAAATGTCGGGTCGCTCAGAAAGGGAGACACATCAGACTCACAGCAGATATCTCGGCAGAAACCCTACAAGCCAGAAAAGAGTGGGGGCCAATATTCAATTTCCTTAAGGAAAAGAACTTTCAACCCAGAATTTCACATCCAGCCAAACTAAGCTTCATAAGTGATGGAGAAATAAAATCCTTTATGGACAAGCAATTGCTGAGAGATTTTGTCACTACCAGACCTGCCCTAGAAGAGCTGAGGAAAGCACTAAACACAGGAAAAACCAGTACCAGCCACTGCAATAAAGAACCAAATGGTGCCAGGCACGGTGGCTCAAGCCTGTAATCCCAGCACTTTGGGAGGCCGAGGCGGGTGGATCATGAGGTCAAGAGATCGAGACCATGCTGGTCAACATGGTGAAACCCCATCTCTACTAAAAATACAAAACATTAGCTGGGCATGGTGGCATGTGCCTGTAATTCCAGCTACTCAGGAGGTTGAGGCAGGAGAATTGCCTGAACACAGGAGG